TTTCAGAGTTTACGAAGGTCACGGAGTATTTTGACTGGAAGGTTTAAACAGTTGAAAAAATGACTGATGGTGAGTTCTCAGCAGTTTTTCTTAGACAATCATAACCTTAGAAGAATTTTCCCACTTTCAAAATTTCTATAGCAAAACTTCTTGTCTGTGAATGCTTGCAGAAAGCCACTCTGATAAACTTATCGAAGGCCTTAGCTGAGAAATGATTTCTAGGATCGCTACGCCGGATTATCATGATTTACTCGCCGGATTTCTTAAAAATTGTATGTAATAACTGCTTAAAAATCTGCAAATTTAAATAATCTAGATGCACTTTTGTAGAGTGCAAAGATGAAATCTAAGAAGTAATTCATTACCAAAATGTATTAGCAAAGTAAGGTGATAATAAATAATTAACATAAAGGGTTACTGTTAAGCCTGTTTCGCCTCTACCCCTATACAGGAATACAATAAATGAAAACCACTCCCGAGGCTCTTCAGTAGGGAAGAGTGGTTAACTGCTAATAGTGGTATAGTCCTAGCAATTTATACCGGTTTGGTAGGGCAAAAAGATCAAAGGATTAACAATGATCAAGTCTATCAATTACGAATTTAACGAAATTTTTGACATTTTTGAAGGACTGAAGTTCTATATATTTGTATGAAATACATTTGTTGAAAGTGAAGCATTTTATAAAGGAATTGGTAATTATATTTTGTGTATAGTCTAAATCCTTGAGTTGTTTAAAGAGTATTAATAATCTATGTATAAACCCATTAAAATCACCAGGCACTCGGGTGGCTAATGTCTTCGCTCTCCATTCTACAGAGACCTAAGTATTTGTTTCTGCGGGTATACGGCGCAGAAGAACAGCCCAGACTGACTCCTAACCTTTTAATAGGATTCGGCCAACTTCCATGGAACGGGAATGTTCGGAATTCTTTTTGCTTCTGTAACGAACAAAAACAAGGAATTCGTTCGCGTTATGGCTGTAGGCAGTGCACCCGGCATCCATCCATGCGGCATTTCTTAGCTTGCCAATTTTTGAAAAAAGACTTAGAAGAGTCGAATATTGATGCTTTTGTAAAAATTTCTTCCTAAATCTTAGATACTGCCAGCTGCCCAATATGTTAGATATAACGAGTGAAATGATCGTATTTTGCAATTAAGATTAGCTTGCAGGTAAAAGGGTACGCTGCCATGTATAGATTTCATTTTGCGAATATTACATGATTTTCGTAACTTATAATTCTTTTTTTTCAGGCACCCAGCATGAAAGTTACGTTCTAGATTCTTGCCGTGGTAAAGCGAATTCTTACTCCTTCTATCATGTATTGCAGTTTCGTAAGTTCGAAGCGTTACCAAACTAAGCAGTCACCTTGTCTCACTTAACAGTTGAGACGATTTTACCAAAAATTGAGTTAAGTAGACGTCATCCGTCTTATCACCTCGGTGCGATGTGTGCTAGTGCACCATTCAAAATTCCGGATAAGAAGCTGGGATCCCGCCGTGCCGCACTCACACTAAGTGCGCAGTACCGCTAAAATTTGGCCAAACTGCTTGTTTTTTATATTCTGATGCTTTTCTTCTTAGCTGCATACACGGTCTCATTTTCGGTGATTTGTCATCTTTATACGTCGTGCATGACGTTTTAGGAATAAAAATTTGCCGCTTTTACTTTCAAGTAAGGGAGGCAGGGAGCAATTTGGAGGATTTTGAAGTAAGCCCTATCTTCAGTTCTATCGTTTATACTCTTTCTACATACGACAGAACTGAAGATAGCAGACTTACTTCAAAATCCTGCAAGATTGCTCATCTGCCTTCTAAAGCGATAATTTGAAGAATTTCGTTCTAAAGGCATGTACCACGTATAAAGGTGACAAATCATCCAAACTTAGACCGTACGTGAAATTAAGAAGAAAAGTTGAAGAACAAGCACTTTGGCGTCAAACTTTAGCCGTAGTGCGCATTTATTGTAAGTATGCAACGGCGGGCCCCCAGCGCCTCATCCGGGATTTTAAATATGTGTGTACTAACATTCTTCGCACCGAGATGACTAGACGGATAACGTCTACTATAGCTTTCCTATCTCCCGAAATTTTCGGACCTATGAGTCCCGAGCTCGAAATTTATGGACATTCTTCTAAACGTATATCACAGAATGGTCTAGCCTGTCAATTGTCACCTAGAATACCACCAAATCCTTGGTATTTTTCTAGTATATGTGTACCACTTTTTTTACCATTGGTCCTGTAAATGAAGCAGGATATGGCAATAACGGGTACACTGAAAACTGATACAAAATAAATAGCGTTATCTTCTGTCTTTTGAAGTAGGTGATTTTTCAATTCTGTAAAGTTATTGTTAGTGAAAACTCTGGCCTCAGTATCTTGCACCTAATACACAAGGTATTCAAGCAATAGAGCATTGATACTTTTTTTCGGTACTTTTTTGCAAAACGTCTTCGCACTTCAATCAAACCTCAAATTATCACCCTCGAAAGTCTCAACAAGTCGTCCAAGTTGCATTGGGCAAAAAATTATTTTTTCTTGCGTATAATTATCACGAGCGTAGATAACCATATAATATGGACCGATTCATCAGTCACTCTTTATTACTGTAAGATTACGGTATGAACTTTGAGAAGGATTTTGGGAAAGTGGAAGTGATCCTTGCCTCAAAAAGAAAACCAAAAAAGACAAAAACTCTTGTATTGGACCATGCTAAATCTGAATTTGAAATTTGCACTTCACTGTAATGCTTCTTTTATAAATTACTAGATGGCTTACCCGGCTCCGCCCGGCCCTGTCATTATTCTATTCGTAATCAGCATGCTCGGTTACCCCCTGTGCAAACTCCCAGCCCTGTAGCTCAAATTTTGCAAAAAAATCGATAAAATCGATATCGATCGATGACGAAAAGTAGCCTATGACATCCGCCGGGCCCGGAAGTGTATGTGTGCCAATTTTGGTCCGGATCGGTTCAGAAATGGAATTTTCTATTCGGAACATACGTACACACATACAGGCAGACATACAGACAGACAGGCAAACAGACATGCAGCTTTATATATAAGATTTTAGATTTTAGGGAAACATCTGTTTTTCTAGTGTTCGTCAGAAATGTGATTATACCACTAAAATAGCTCAGGAAACTGTTGGAAAGTTTTTAGTGAAATCCGCACGCCTGAAAACCTTACTGCAAAACCACATTTCTTTGGAATTTTTCCCATTCAGTGGCCTATTTCATGGTAGCGCATTATGCTGAATTTATACCGTACCTACATTAATAGAGAGCGACTGATAATCCGGCCCATAAAATCTATGTAAGTTGAACCCTCGTTCTACAGAATGATAACCAAAGTTCGCCGAAAGATATGAGAGCAAGAGGGTTATTAACGATCAAACAGGCGTTCACATTTCTCTTTTGGGACACCCTGTATGATTACGTGGTTCTCGAAAGCGACGAGATTAGTTCAAAAGCGACAATTTGTTTTGGGATCAACATCAAAAATGAAATTGAGCAAAATCTCTCATCAAGTCAGCTTCGAACTTTCAATGCCATCTTTATTTTTCTACGCATGACATTGCAGAATCTACGCCACTATCAAAAGTCTAATCAGCGCCAAACATGTGACATCGCTTGGTATCTTAGTAAGAACAAAGCATCTTATATGAACGATTTCAAGCGCTTAACATCATTATATTGATGAAAAGGTGGTACGATAGCACTGACAGTTGCTATTCGCTCATGTATTGGCAAAGATGGTTTTAGTAGAGGGCGTACCAATCTGATAACGAAAACATCCGTACTAATAAATGATGCAAATTGCTGTTGGCGGAGTCATTCTAATTCTTTGTCCGTGCACTTCTTCACGCTCTCTAGTTATTTCCGTACATTCCTCAGCTGCATTTCTCAAACAAACCCAAAATGCAATAATGCTGGATTGGCATGGATTTTCTGGCAACAGAAACGCAAGCAAAGTTTAGATGCAAAATCAAAAAGCAATACCTTTTTTTGGAAAAATAATAATACGTTAACTAGACAATCGCAGAAGATCTCTCTATGCTTCCCGATCTCCACTCTGACACGTGCCTGCATTTAGCCTTAAAAGGTAAAAGCAGAATTTTACAAAATTCGTGAAAGTATCCCAGAAGAGTCGAAAGCTATGCAGTTACTTGTCTATTTCGTGACTATTGAAGTGATACTTGAATTCTTTGCAAATTCAAATTAATCTTGTAAATAAATTTTCTTGGGCTTTTGACCAAAAGCTGCGCCAAACAGGTTTTTCTGGTTGTGAGCCTCTCAAGAAAAGTCAGGTCAGGTCGGCTGATGCAGAACCACGCATTCTGAACATTCTTAGTGCCTAAAAACTGGTGTTTGGGAAGCTCGCCTAACACACAAGCATCATACAATACCGCATTTTCAAAAAAATGACGCATAGTCGCCCGATTCATGTGACATCACCGTCGCATGTCTATATCTTGCTTCAGTACGGACGAATTCTTGATCCAGGGGCACCATTCCACTCAGCTTGGCGCGGCGCATCTTCCTATACACAGAAGTGTCCGCTTAGACACAGTAGGAGCCGGGTAGGGATCGTTTTAGATTTTTGCTTACGGTTGGTTACTCAGTGCGCTTATTCATTGCACTCGCTGAACAGCCTACTGTGAGCAGAAATTCGAAACGAATCTTGTAATTTGGCCTCCTACTATGTTCATGCTGGCACTTCTATACATCACAAGATGCGCCGCGCCGAGTTGAGTCGAATGGTGCCCTTGGATTAAGAATTTGTCTTTGAAGCGAAATGTGGTCACACTACGGCGATGTCACGTGAATAGGGCGACTCTACGTCGTTTTATCCAGGACGTGCGAGAGGTATTGTATGTTGAAATGACCTATAATAATACCTAGCCAAACAAAACAGGTAAAGTTTTGAATATTTCATATTATATTGCATCATGACAATATCAAACGAAATTTGCAAACTACCCAATCTTATTTTTAGAATATGATGCGTCATTTCGTTGCGTTTACGTTACTGTTAATCGCTTTGGTAATCTCAGTCGAGGCGACTAAGTGGGTGCCGGACTATCTACTTTGCTCCCGTTTCGGTGATTCTGCGTGCAGAGCGCGTTGCTTGAAACAATCAGTATGCCTATGTACTCATCTATTCGAATCATCAATTTAAGTTTAAAATTGAGTTCAGAAGTGCGGAAACTGCAAAATAGTATTCGAAGAAGAAGTTTTCTCCCCGAAATGCTTCTGTGAGGATTGTCGTGATCAACAGAGGAAGAAACAGCTTCATTGACCAGATGCACGTCTTTTGAGGTTTTTGCGCAAAACACCAGTATGAAATTATTACGATGCAAGTTATTCATGTTTCCACCACAAAACGATAATTCAAGTTATCAGCAATATTCACAACTTAACAACCTACGAGAAAAAGCTGGTATACTTATTTTACCATGCTAACACAATTCTGTTCTTTGTCCCACTGTCAAATGTTCAGAAATAGTAGATTTATGGAAGTGCACAATGATATACCGATTGAAAAACACATATTGACGATTTCCTCGCCAGTCCATTGTCAGCATTATGTCTAATACACGTCGATGACCGCGTGCATACACGCGCCACGCGCATGCATGCCGTGACTCCCGTTTAACGCTTTCGTGGATAGTACGTATGCATACCATTTTTTAGGTGTAAAGAAAGTACTAAGGTAACATATGCAGTAACGATAGTGGTGACCTGATTGTCATAAAGAGCACATCGCAGTAGCTTTACAGGAGTTTGAAGCGCAAGTTTAGCTATTAAAATATGTCAATTGTGTTTTATTGACAAGGGAAGCATACTTGGCCGAAGTGGAGTTTCCATATGAAATGTACATTGTCTTATCTTATATATGAAGCGGAATGTCTGTTTGTCTGTCTGTATGTATGTATGTCTGTCTGTATGTCTGTCTGTATGTGTGTACGTATGTTCCGAATAGAAAATTCCATTTCTGAACCAATCCGGACCTACTTTTCGTATCGATCGATATCAATTTCATCGATTTTTTGCAAAATTTGAGCTACGGGGCTGGGAGTTGGCACAGGGGGGTAAGTGAGCATGGGGATTCCGAATACAATATTAGTTTTCGAAACCGTGCATTACTTTTATCGATTTTATCGATTTTTTGCAAAGTTTGAGCTAGGGGGCTGGAATTTGGCAAAGGGGTGTAATCATGCTGATCACCCCACAAATCCCAGCCCCGTAGCTCAAATTTTGCAAAAAATTGATAAAATCGACATCGATCGATAGCGAAAAGTGACTGTGACACCCGCCGGGGCCCGAAGTGTATGTGTATCAAGTTTGGTCCGGATCGGTTAAGAAATGGGATATTCTATTTGGAACATACGGCGGAGCCGGGTAAGCCAGCTAGTAGTTCATAAAACGCTGATTCCGAATCTACTTTTGCTATCTGCAAATCACTTCTTGGAAGGCAATTGTGGATGTTTTTAAACAAAAGTCAAGAGCTTGGCTGAGGTAAGAACAAGCTTTGAGTCTTACCAGTGCTTGGAAGAAGTAATGACGGTTAAATTATTGGACTGAAGCTAGTAATTACAATACCGCTCATAATTCGTCAAAAAAAGTCGCCGGACTGCGGCAGAGTGCGCCAAACTCCACTAAAGTCTACCGGAGTCCGCGTCACATCGCCGTATCTCGCTTCAAAATGGACGATTTTTGAATCCGAAGACACCATTCGCAGCTCGGCGAGACTCATCATCTAGTATATAAGAGTGCCACAATCTAGCAGGATATAATAGGTGTACGCTAGACAGTAAGTTTCCGCTCAGCTTCCGCGCTTCGTGGAATTCGGGATTAAAGCTCAAGTCCGCGACATTCTGGGAATCCCACGACACTCCAGGAATCCGCGAAATAACGATTTCACGCAAAATACGCAGCACCATAACTTCCTTCGGAATGAATATATTCTAAATCAGGAAAGAGCATTGTGTTCAGATTGTCAAAGCGAATTTTTTTTCATACTGCATGCCCTCTATATTCCGTTTCCAGTTTTCTCGAATTTTTCTGTGGAGGTCCCTTCGCAAGAATATAACGCAGCGTCCGTGTATTATAAAAGATTCCAGTAAGCAATTTTCGATAGCATTGCTCTTGTAGGTTATCCTGCGTTAAATAGTAGCCGCAGACTTTTTTCCAAAAGAGGTAGGAGCGCCGGCGAATTCTGGAAAAATCACGCGTTTTTAGATTCTACTCGATATAACTTCCTTCGTAATAAGGATATTTTGAATCCGAAAACAGTGCTGTGCTCACCTCATCAAGGCGAATCTCATCATACACAGCATGTCCTTGATATCTCGATTTCAATATTCTTGAAACTCTCTACGGATGTCTCTTCGCGAAAGTGTAAAGCACCGCGCATTGTCCCGAGTAGATTCCGGCAAGGACCTTTCGATAGTACTTGCTGTGTAAATTATGATGCACTAAACAGTAGCCGCAGATTTTTCTTTGAAGGAAATAGAAGGGCGGTAAATTGTAAAAAATCTTGTCGTTCCAAACTCTACTCGCCATAGCCCTAGATTACGAAGCTCTTTTGCTAAGCAGATGTGATTATCGTAATCAGCGGGTCGGCTAACCTCTATGAACAAGTTTTCCGAAATGTTCGGGTCATTTCATTTTTCCCGTTTTAGGCTCTGGAAGCTCGCCGATGAATTTTGGTCAAAATGTGCATCACGGTGGAATTTCGATGAAGTATGTGATCTTTACATTGTGGGCAAGATGCATGAGGACGTGTATTCGTAAGCTCGTAACTCGGCGATTTCTATAGACAAGAGCTTGAGACATGCACCGTTCGATGGCACGCTTCCTAATTACTTTAGCCTTCATAAACAGTCAAGCAGGTTTTCTGACAGGTACGCGAGAGGTCCAGACGAACTTAAAAGCTTTCGTTATTTAATTACAGTTACCTCACCGTATCTCTCCAAAAAGACCTTGTAATCCTCAGAGACCACGATTTTCGTAAAAAGCGTGTTCGAAAACCTCTATAAGCGAAGTTTCCTTACAATTCAGAAGTATCAACACTTTGACCAAAATTCATCGGCGAGCTTCCAGAGCCTAAAACGGGAAAAAATGAAATGACCCGAACATTTCGGAAAACTTGCTCATAGAGGTTAGCCAACCTGCTGATTACGATAATCACATCTGCATAGCAAAAGAGCTTTGTAATCTAGGGCTATGGCGAGTACAATTTGGGACGACAAGATTTTTCCACAATTCACCAGCCCTTCAATTTCCTTTGAAGAGAAATCTGCGGCTACTGTTTAGTGCGTCATAGGCTGGGTTCATACTAATTCTCATGTTCTGGAACTGTTCCCGCGCTATCGTGCAATTGTTTATTCTGTCTTCGTGTTTTTTGCTCAAAACTGCTTCATTTGTTCCAGGAAGCGGCTGTCTAGTTTCCATAGCCATCTGCCACGAATTAGGGAGTAGGAGAAATCCTAAAATTGCATGAGTTGGGACTTGTCTCTTGTTTTTCATGATTTTGGGCGTTCTTAGCCTTGTTCGTTTTTCCATGGCGCTGCTTCTCCGTCCTTTCTTCTACTCCGCTTCTCCTAGTGATGAGAAAAGCTGTGAATTTGAAGCGGGCTTGAGAATTGAACGCTGTTCTGCTCCATGTATCCGGGAATATGGGCCTTCGTGCGCTCGTCCATTCTCTCATCGCTATTCAGACCTACTTCATGTGTACTAACAAGTCGCTGCGTAGTCTCGCATCTGTATTGAAATTGAAATAGACAAGTCTCTAGAACACATGAAGTAGGCCTGAACAAAAATAGCAGAGAAGATGGACGAGCGCACAAAGTCCATCTTCCCGGATACTTGAAGCAGAACAGCGTGCAATTCTCAACCCCGCTTCAAATTCACAGCTTTCTCATCACTAGGTAAAGCGGGGTAGAAGAAAGAACGAAGAAGCAGCGATTTGGAAAAACGAAAAAGGCTGGGAACGCCCAAAATCATCAAAAACAAGAGACAAGTCTCAGCTCATGCAATTTCAGGATTTCTCCTACTGCCTAATTCGTGGCAGATGGCTGTGGAAACTAGACAGCCGCTTCCTGGAACAAATGAAGCAGTTTTGAGCAAACAACACGAAAACAGAATGAACAATCGCACGATAGCCCATCTTTCCGAATACATGGCGCAGAAAAGTGCTCATTCTTCAACTCCGCTTCGCGTTCGAAGTTCTGCTGATCAAAAAGGGAAGCGGGATGGAGGAATAAGGCCAAAATGAGCGAAATTTGGAAGAAAAACCTTTGAGAACGATCAAAATTCTCCAACTCTCGTCGTTCAGAACGGTGCGAGGCGGCTGCAGCGCATGCAGCACAAAACTGTTCCCGCACAGTTCCAGCACAGTGCGAGAACTGTGCGGGAACAATTCCAGAACATGGGAATCAGTATGAACCCAGCCATAATTTGCAGAACAAGTACTATCGAAAGGTCCTTGCCGGAATCTACTCGGGATAATGCGCGCTGCTTTACACTTTCGCGAAGAGACATCCGTAGAAAGTTTCAAGAATATTGAAATCGAGATATCAAGGACATGCTGTGTATGATGAGATTTGCCTTGATGAGGTGAGACCAGTATTGTTTTCGGATTCAAAATATCCTTATTCCAAAGGGAGTTATATCGAGTAGAATCTAAAAACGCGTAATTTTTCCAGAATTCACTGGCGCTCCTACCTCTTTTGGAAAGGAGTCTGCGGCTAATATTCAGCGCGCGATAACCTACAAGAGCAATGCTATCGAATATTGCTTACTGGAATCTTTTATAATACACGGACGCTGCGTTATATTCTTGCGAAGGGACCTCCACAGAGAAATTCGAGAAAACTGGAAAGAATATAGAGGGCATGCAGTATGAAAAAAAATTCGCTTTGACAATCTGAACACAATGCTGTTTCCTGATTCAGAATATATTCATTCCGAAGGAAGTTATGGTGCTGCGTATTTTGCGTGAAATCGTTATTTCGCGGATTCGTGGAGTGTCGTGGGATTCCCAGAATGTCGCGGACTTGAGCTTAGATCCCGGAATTCAGCGAAGTTCACGGAGTTTTTGCACATTTTGTGAGCGGATTGTGATCTTGAGCAGATTTTAGAACAAATTCGATTAGTGTGACTCTCTACTATACTCTCCAGTATACTTTCTATGTGCCATCAGCGACAAATCAATGGCAATACTGTTGTCAACCAACTGAACAATCCAACCAAACAAAAAACTGCAAAACTGAGCGGAAACTTACTGTCTAGCGT